TATATATATGTTCAAATAGATAGAGATATTTCTGATAAAACGCCTGTTACTATGGTTTCATTTACGTCCATTGACTAATGCTATTTCGCATGACATACACCTTAAGGAGATAGGCCGTGAACGTCTGCATCTAGTTGTGCGAAATCACAAATCAGTTTCCTAGGCTCCAGCCATTGATGAAACCGTAGCCGATAGTGTCACACATACGCATACAGGGGAGTCATTGCTCCACAACGGGAAACAATGAGCTGGACCGTAAGCGTACGACCAAGATCGAAGCACATGTGCAAAGTGGAAACTAATGTCTATTCAACTGGTCGAGGGGAAAGGCAATGTGTGCAGCATGCAAATGACCTGTGACCTGTGACCGTGACTGTAAGGATTTAACAACGAATGGTGTGTTGTCAAACAGGCACGTCTCTGGACCGCGGATTGAGAAGAGAAATGACCGCCTGAGTCCTTCATTCGAAATTATACGAATACGACCTGAATAAATAACCGGTCATAGGCTGGAGGATCGACTAAGTGTGGTCCCACAACAATCATTGTGTTTCGAGAAAAGGACTGAACATTGCCGTACAATGAAACCCGTTTTTCACAGATTACGCTTCAGTTAGCCGGGTGATTCGGTTTTGAATCCTCAGTGAAAATGAACGCTTTGGCGTGCACAACCTGAAATTATCATACCCACGAGCAAACCATGCATTGATTTCGTTGTCGCAAAGGTTCTATTGTCATGGTTTGTTTGACATACAATTGGAATCCATGTAAGCCTGAATTAGGTACAATCAAACCTCGCTAACTCACGGATTCCTAGGTTTTAGATAGATTCAGTATCAATTTTAAAACTCACTTTTCATATGTTCGACGGGGTTTGTTTAAGCTCGTTCGGTGAGGCTGATCTATGACCGCTGGCCTTTGCTTGAGACATGAAATTCACATTATCTACAACTGATGCACCTTCATTCAATGTCACCGGAAATGTTATGGTAGTCTTTGAAACGCCAAAACCCATCTACTGGAAGCAGATGAAAATCAGTTTGGCGTGGTTCATCTGCGTAGTGTATTGGCCTTTTTCGGGTGAATCAGAAATGCTCGTTTGTTGCACCATCCAGAACCAGGGGCACATCATCGACTACCTACAGTATTTCCAAGCAAACGTCGTGGACTGCAGTGTGTTATCTTTCTCAATCTCTACAATCTCGTGTTCCCAACGAAAAATGTTGTAAACTTCTTTCCCGCTAATTTTACGATTTCGTTCAGTCGAGTAACTTTCAGCGCACGAATCAGCTTCGTATGAGGCTTGCGATCAGGGATGTTAGGGATGTCCAGCAGTGCACAAGAATGAGACCAAAATAAGGGTGATTCGCTTAGGTGTGTATTACATGCGAGTTTAAAGAACCAACACCAAGGTTTGTCAACGACCGGGGAATTAAGCACCTTGTTGATCCCTTGGGCAACGTGACCGTGACTGATTTACCCGCTGCTCTACGGTGCGTGAATCCACATTCTTTGATTCCATCCTCAATGGATAATCATCTGGCTGGATATCGCTCCTATTCTTGGCATATGCACATCATACTGCAGCAGTGCAAGTTGCAGGGGTCCGATTCGACTAGTATTGTCCCTTAGTCCCGTTCCGCGGGTTTGTTTGCGGTCGAACTTCATTATGAATCGGGGTTCAGACGATGGGGAGACACATTCCGGGGGGAATTTGCCACACCGCATGACGCACTGAAGGTACAAATACTTTTACGTAAACTGGCTACCGAGGAACGCCAGCGGCACGCAGACAGTATTCTCATTTGATGGCACAATGAAGTTACTCACAGACACATTGGTCGTTAAGTTATCCTTATCCAATGAACGATATTAGAGCATGAAGGTGGTGAAAAGCGACTCCGTTGTATGCTTACATTCGTTTCAATAACCCAGTTGCTCATGTCTACATATAACCACCGGGACAATGTGGGTAATACCACTGACAGTGCCGATTATTAGTCAATGTCGATCGACGAGATTGTAGTGGTAACTGGTCCCCACTAACAAGCCTTAGTTTCACACTGATGGAATTTCACATCGTAGATGAAACGGAAGTAAAATGAGGTGACAACTAAAAAGTGACGACACCGTACACTTATAAAGTACTGCCAATATGCGTTCTGCTTAATGATTGAAACGTGTGAAACTAGATTTTTGTGGGATACGAATTTTCGATGAAGCGACTGCTTCTTACGACTATGCTGCTTGTCCACAAGCGATCGATCAAAGTTTAATTGTAATATGAACAAACATCTGATTCAGCAGACTTGATAACAGTTTTAATTCACTATCGTCCAGTACGTCTACTTTACTCTAAATGAGAAATCTGATTTGATGAGAAGCTGTCCAGTGAAGAAACAGATAGTTAACTACCTTTCCCGTCGTTGTTTTCAGGCCTAGGAAACTGAGTCACTTTGATTGGAAAAACGTCTGAACAAACTTGTGTCGGTTAAGTCTTACTGCAAACAGTAATAACACACAACACACCCTAATGCCAGCAGTTACGAGTTCAAGTCCCAGATGATTCGGTGGACATGAGTCATGAAGATCTCTAACGAGAGCCAACCTCGAACAATTTTTCCAGTGCACAAGGTTGACTGTATAGACAGAAGTGTGTGAAAGTGAAGTCTCACTGATCGCCAGACGAAATCGTAAAAATTGTATGACTTGGATTGGGAAAAATAGTAATAAACGACACAGATCGTTTTATTGCTCCGTAGTCT